CGGCATAATAATATTGAGATTTCTGTTTTGCATAACTTCAGTTGTTCTACATAGTTTTTCAACGTGATGTGATTTTGACCAAATTCAACAGTTACAAACTGACCTTACCAATAATGAGATCCCTACCCAAGAAAGTTACTAATAATAAATGCGAGATCATACAATCACCAGATGTATTAAGATAATTATAAGGAAGCTTGCATCTTATAAGGAAAATTCCCATGAGTTTACAACAGTGTAACTAGAGCACATATTCGTCTTCTAGCCACTATTTACCAAACATAGTGGCATTACTGGAACACTGCCGGAGTTCAAAAATACTAGAAAATTACCTCATATTTGGCATACACCTCAGTATTGAATCCAATCTCGACGCCCTTTTTATTTTTCCCAAATCTCCTTGGCTTTCCAAAATATATACCTATTTTTTAGCAGAAAGTAGATTGAAATAATAAATTGAAAGAAAGGAGAGAAATGACAGAAGTAAATCCAACCCTTAATTATCGGTCTCTAGATGTATGCTAATCTCCTGTGAGCTGTCTTACAACCATTACATCAACACCTTCGGCAACCTCTTTCTTCAAAGTCGAAGCGTCCACCAACTGGAAAGGTAAACACCATAACATGCTAAGTATTCTTCGTTGAAAAAAGTTTAAAAATAAAAGAAGCACGGACGCCTGCAAACAAATATTTGAAGAAGAGAAATACTAGCATCACTCCTTCTATCACCCTCTTTCTCACTCACTGTATTCACCATTTGACGCGTATACTATTTAATTTTTTTTAAAATAATATATCATGTTATTAGAGTTTATATGTCAAATAATAAATGTAGAGAGTGACAAAAAAAATGATGTTAGTATTTTTCTTTAAAGAAACTAATGCACATTCTTGAGCCCCCATCTCCCTCTATGATATACTGACCCTGTTTTTTTTTTTTTTTTTTTTTTTTTTTTTTTTTTTTTTTTTGAATTGTTTTTTTTGGAATAGTTTATCCAATTTTGAAGAGTTTAAAACACCAACGAAACAAGAAGAAACGGAAAAATACACAAGACCTCTTCTTAGTAAATTCCCTTAAAAAGAGGGAAGGGATTTCACCTGCGGTAAAATGGTTGCCGTTCTGACCGGTGAGCAAAGTGATGGTGTAGCGCTTGGATGGTGCGGCTGCGGAGCACCTAATCCGACTCGCCCTGGCGGTGGAGAATTTGGGCACGAAGTTTGGTAGAAAATTAACGGGTTTGAAGATCTTGGTGTTGAGTTGCAGACAAACCGCCATTGACGGTGATTGCTTTTTCACAATCCGGTTTGCCGACATATGTTAGTACCATAATATTTAATGCAGGCATATATTACGTACGCAGACGTGCCAGCACTTGTTATAGTTTGAATATCAATATCTTGCTTGATTGACCATTATCGATCGTCTTCTGGCTTATACAGAAGCTGGTAGGAGTCTAAAGAAATAGGTGAAGAGGTATTGAAGTCAGTAGAGTCCCAAGTACCCGCTTCTGTATGAACTAATGAACCGAATTAGCACCAAGAAAGAATCAATTTGGTTCGCAACTGTTTATTTCTTCCTAGTCTAAGGCTCTTTATACAATAAAGCGCCTTTGATGATCAGCTAAAGACACCCTTTTAGATTTCATCAAAAATGTTTTTTTTTTTTTTTTTGGCGGTAATCAAACATGAATTTTTGTTATTGAGTTTTTCTCCCATTTTGAAGTTTTTTCTGTGTTGTTCAGACCACATAATGGACTGTGTTTGGTTGCGTGTGTTTGTTTTTTTCCCCTCGTTTGACTATTATCCATCGACAATTATCTTTCACAATAATATGAACAATTGTTTTTTTTTTTGTTTTTTTGTTTTTTTGTTTTTTTGCTGAAAAAACAAGTGTGTTGTTTTGTATTGGTTTTGTTGATATATTATGGCAAAATCTTAAGTCAAGCACTTGAACATTATTTCGGCAAATGTAACTTTTTGTATTTTCATATTACATTATTTATATATGCCTGAAACTTAGATTGTTTAAATGTAACACAAAATTTTATATGATTATATTTTTTTTTAAGGTACATGACTACATTTTTGAATGTTACGTTTAAACAAATTAAATTTTACACACATAAACAAATGGTGTTACACGTGAATATAGGAAAAAGTTGCTTTTATCAGACTAGTCTGGTGCCAGACTTTAGACAATTCTTATGTATTATATGGTTATTTGTTATATGTCAATATTTTATGGATACTTTAACGATGACACGTAAGAGAGTATACATATGTCAAGTAGTATTTCTTTAGATTCTTTTGGGCGGTTTGTTTGATTGATGGTTGTTCACGAATTATTAGTGTTAGGTATCCAATTAACAATTAACATGCGACTGGGTCAGTTAATATGTCATTTTACTAATTAAATTAAACGAATATATGTCACGAAGGAAAGTAGACATCAGCCCTATTATTGAGCCGGACATTGCCCGACCTTGATAGGGATTAGCGGGAAAAAAAAAAAAAAAAGGAAAGGAAAATGACATGTGACACGAAATTGACCCGTGAACCCAAAATTAACATGAAAATTGTATATTTTTATTTATTTTTTACATATTAGAAATAACTTAAAATTCATAACATACTAAAATACAATAACATCCATTAAAAGTAAGCAAATAATAGTATAAGATTTTGAGTATAACTATCATGATATCACAAGTTCATAATAAAATAAAAAATATATAATGAAAAATATATGTATTTTTTAGTTTTTTTACGAGTTTCGTGTCGTGTTCGGATTAGGCGGATCCAACTCAAAATTTATCAGTATTTTTCGTGTCAATTTTAAATCGACCTAATTATGATATATAACATGTTAGTTGTATAGTACTCTCAACATGCTTGTATTATTATTATTATTATTATTATTACTATTATTTTCTTTAGGAGACTTGAGAATGCATACTTTGTTAATATAATACTACATCTTGTCTATGTTCTGGAGGAAAAATGAAACGACATACAAAATGTAAAATTTTCTCCAAACTTATGCAAATGTTGCCACATGTCCTATAAACTTTAAAGAATGTTATTTTATGGGTTTTTTTTTATTTTTTCCCTGGATTTTGAGTTTATTCGGAAAATATATATTTAGTTTTCTTGCCTATGTAATTATATATAGATTGCATTTAATAAGAAAATCTATATCTTATATTGGAATATAAAATCTTCTCCCAACTTATGCAAATGGTTTCGTTTGCTTTTTTATCCTTTCTTTTCCCTAATTTTTTGAACTTCTGATAATTTCTTGAGTATTTTTTTTCCTTTTCTCTTGTTAGGGATCTTTTAGTCAAAGAGTCAATAAGTTTTTAATAAAACGGGGTACACATTTACGTATTCAATGCAATTTAATGGCAGTATTTTTATTTTTTATTTTGTTCACATTGAAAACTAAGGGTGTACTTTCTATAAAAAAAATTGAATTAGTATGAAAAAGTAACCCAAAAAAAAACGGAAATGGTAGAAAATAAGCCAATATGAAAAGCTTAAGAAAGTATATAGGCCAATTTTTAGTTATAGAAATTAATATGCCATAACTTATCAAGTTATGATTCATAACCAGATAAGTTATGGATAAACTTATCAAGTTATAGTTCATAGCCAAATAAGTTATGGACAAAAATAGTAATTTGGCCTATTTATTAACTTATGTAAACTATTGTTCTATTAATTTAATTTATCTCAAGTCTTGGCCTATTTCCTATTTTGTTCCCCAACTTTTGAAAAGTACTGTTAAATTGACGGCCCAATACTTTAAAGATTTCTTTAAATTACGGTATTTATCTTAGTAGTTAGTAATATAGTTCAAATGTAAAAAACATCTCATTACTAGACATAATAACAAAAAAATTTGATAAAGTTTTTCCACCAAAATTTCCATAAGCTTCGCATTTGTTGCTGGAGAAAAATTCAACCACCAACTTTAAAACTTGAGACATGTTTATATTTTCGATTGGAAAGGAATTGAAAGGGTATCTTCCTAAAGCTTTTTACACTCACTAAACGGGAGAGGACACATTATGAAAATTTGAAGTTTAAGGAGACAATTAGAGGAGAATTTTCAAAATGTTATGATCCCAATTTTGACAAAATTGGACTGGATCAGGAGAACACTAAACAGTACTTTTGAAAAGCTTGAGAGCAGAAAATAACATATGAGTAAATTGTTGGGGATATATAAATTTAAGCAGAAAATTTCAAAATTTATGCTAACAAAAAATATATGAATAATGCTAGGGACACCAACTCAAATGTCAACTCTTGTATACTAACTGATGTGTCATGTGAATTATCATTTTTTTCATTGCGGATTTAAAATATTGCCACGTCAATTAATAAAAGAGATTGCATCGACTAATAAAAAGATGAAAATTTATGTGTCACATCAATTAGTACACAAAAATTAAGATTTGAATTGGTATATATAACATTACTCAAAAGATATATATATACCATTGAAACTCATTCATATATGTATATATATTTTTAAAAAAAAGTTTCATTTTCACATAAATGACAACAATATTTATATATATATATATATATATATTTTAAACTTTAAGTTACATGCCATCTTATATATGCACCCAATCACCATTATAAGTAGTTAGCATCTATCCTCCTAAACTTTGGTTTTTTTTTTTGTAAATTGTCACCTAAACCTTTTATTTTGGTAATCAGCCCTTTAAACTTGTTTTACCATTGCAATGTGATCCAAATTGATAACATCGATCGTTTGAATTGGTGACTGAAATAAGAAGATTATTGTCAAAATTAAAAGTTTAATTGGAAACTTATAAAAGCTGAAATTAAAAAGGTGTCTTTAGCTGATCATCAACGATGTTTCGTTGTATAGAAATCCTCAGACTAGGAGGCAATAAGTAGTTGCCAACCAAACTGAGTCTTTGTTGGTGATAATTTGATGCATCAGTTCACACAGCAGCGAGTAATTAGGTCTCAAGCGACTTCAACACCTCTTCACCTATTTCTTTGCATCCTACCAGCTTCTGTATAAGCCAAAACTCAATCGTTAATGGTCAATAAAAAAAAAAAAACTATAAAATGTATTGAAATGTCTACATAACATATGCCTGCATTAGATGCTAAAATTAAAATAATATTTAGAGCCTTTCCTTGCACAAAATATTTAATTTGACATCTCATACAGTTATCAAAATTTTATAAGAAATAAAAAAGGCGAGGAGTAATTAAAAATTAAGATAAACTTACAGTTCCAGATGATTTTATGTCGTCTGTTCGGAACCCCCTATTTAGGGTGTCCAGAACAGCATCCTTAATTCTCTTAGCAGCATTCTCTTCTCCTAGTCCATACTTCAAAAGCATAGCAGCACAGAGCAGTGTCCCCAATGGGTTCGCCTTATCCTGGAATAATTCATTGCGCACATTAATTAAAAGACATCAACATCAGGAGAAGAAAATGCGATGCACAAGCAGACCAACCTGTCCAGCAATATCAGGAGCGGAGCCATGTCTAGGTTCAAAAAGTCCTGGTCCCTGTACAGCCAAATGGGAGCGCTTCGATTTAGCAAGATAAGAAGAACACTCACAACTTTTTATTGGAACAAAACCGAAAAGGAACTGTTTTATTTCTAACTGACACAATGAAAACTTAATCAACTGGACTATATAAAATCGTATGCCCTACCGATTCCCCAAGACTAGCAGATGGAAGCATCCAAATACTTCCAGTTATCTCGGAAGCCACATCAGATAAAACATCACCAAATATGTTGTTTGTTACAATTGTATCAAACTGCATATTTAGTTCATGGAAAAACATCAGAACCAAGTAGGCTCCAAAACAAGAGAAAACGGAGGGAAGCACAACCAGATAGTTTATAAAAGCCCAAGCCAAACCTGTTTCGGATAGCGAACAAGTTGCATTGCAGCATTATCAGCGTACATGTGTGAGAGTTCAACATCAGGATATTCCGAGGATATTTCCACGACACATTTCCGCCAAAACATAGAAGCCTAAAGAATGTAAGATTAAAAATAAACCCGAATCCCACATCATTTAAACAGAAAGATAAACACCAGCTTATTAGGGCATTGGGCAATCCACACTTAATAGGTTGATATTTTAAGATAGAAGGCGAAGTAATTTATGACTCTATAGAGGCACCATCTTACAAGAGTGTGTAAAGTTAAGGGAAAAAAAAGCTGAGCACAGCATACACAAGAATAAACACTAACAAGAGTGTCAACCAGAAAGTACCTCCAACACATCTGCTTTGTCAACATTGCAAAGTTTTCCCCGCCTTTTTCGGGCAGTCTCAAAGGCAACACGGGCAATGCGATCAATCTAGTAAACAAATTATTTGAAATTACAGATCCATCTATGCCTAACTCAACACAGATTTGATGAAGCAGACAAAAAAAGTAAAAGAAACTATTTTGATCCCATAAGCCATATACCTAGTCCATTCTAGGCAAGGATCAGCACAAATATCGGTCCAGAGAATGATAAGAAGCCAAAAAAATAAAAAAAAATAAAAAAATCAATAATTTCAGATTTGTTATGATAACTGTAAGGACACTTGTTCCGTATCAGGAAAATTCCGATGAGTTTAAAAGAGTGTAACTAGAGCACACATTCGTCTTCTGCCTGTGTTTATCAAACATAATTGCATTATTGGACCAATGTTGGAGTTCAAAAATATTAGAAAATTACCTCATATTTGGCATACACCTCAGTATCGAATCCAATCTCCTCGCCATAATTCTCATTTTTTCTAAATCCCCTTGGCTTTCCAAAATATATACCTAGTTTTTAGCAGAAAATAGATTGAAATAATCAATTGAAAGAAAGGAGAGAAATGACAGGAGTAAATCCAACCCGTAATTATCGGTCTCTTTATGTATGCTAACCTCCTGTGAGCTCTCTTACAACCATTACATCAACACCTTCAGCAACCTCTTTCTTCAAACTCGAAGCGTCCACCAACTGAAAAGGTAAATAACATATCATGCTAAGCCTTCTCCATCAGAACAAGTTTAAAATTAAAAGAAGCACAAAAAGCCTGCAAACAAATATTTGAAGAAACTAAAGCACACTCTTGAGCTAGTTCCTTTTATTAGCCTTTTGACCCCTTTTTGGTATACTAACCTGCAATAGGGTGTTTTATTTTATTTATTAATTAATTAATTTTTTTTTGGATTAGTTTGATATTTACCAAGATAACCAGACAAGTTTAAGAGCTTAAAACGCCAAGGAAACAACAAGAGAGAGAAAAAAAATTAATGCACTAGACCCTTCTCTCACTAAATTCCCTTAGCAAGAGGGAAGGAACTTCACCTGTGGGAAAAAGGTTGCCGGTCTCAAATTTGCAAAAACTTTAAGGCCTTCTCTAAGCTGAAGCAACCCGGTCTCTGGTTTCAGATGTTTTTCATTTGAATCCCATTTATTCCTTATGAAGCAACAAATTAATTAATAAAATTGCACCATTTCACATCATGAAGGAACACACACTAACTCATAAGAGGGAAGAAAAATACCCTCCAATTGCTCCTAGAAGAACGGCGTCAGATTGCTTCGCCGCGGAAAGGGTCTCTTTCGGTAAAGGGATACCGCTAGTCGAGTCCAAAGCAGCTCCACCAATGGGCATCTCTTGGAAACTAAATTCAATCCCTAATTTACACAATACATACAATTAGGCATTCATTCGATAGGGGTGGGGTTTTGGTGGGGAGTTTCCAGTTCAATTCCGTGTTGTATAAAAAAAAAATCATAAACCCTCAGGAAATTATCAACTATACGTTCAACTGTTCAGATAATGCATGAAAATAAAGATGCATGAATATAAGTTTTTCTGTACCTCGATAAATATAGAAATCTATATAAAATACCCTCAATACATTACTCCGATTGGCTAATGAGAAAATTATGCGGGATGGTGAATAGACACAAAAGGAAAAATGAAGCCCGAGAACTTCTTGATGAATTATGACATATGTCGACGGTCGATTTTCGTCAACAAGACTTTATCGGATTACTCATCGGTGGTCCGTCGAGTAACAGTTAAAACTTTTAATTTAACTGAATATTCTAGACACGGTGTTTACCCTTTTGGTGTATTGTGAAGAGTATTTAGTACTGTGTTTTTAATGGAAGTAAAAACACACAGAGATTTTATAATGGTTCACCCTTATCAAAGAATAGCTACATCTACTGCATTTTATTTCTTTTCTATTCTTCACAGATTACATGAAAAAATCCATCATCCCTTCTCTCTTGGGCTTTGCCCCTTTTAACTACCCATAAACATCCCCCTTGGACGAGCTACCTTTGGGGCTTTTTGACGGTTCCTCTCGAGTGGCCCACCATCTCAAGTGGCCTGCTATCCTATTTACCTAGACTGTAGCCTGTCAGTCCCTTTTAGACTGTTCACTCATCTAATTTGTCCCCCTATTACGGCTCTGCAGATCCTCTGTAATCTCCATTGGTCCATTCCAGGTGGTTTAGGGGCTTGTAATTATTCCCTGCGCAACTGACCTTCTCCAAACCCAGACGCAACCTAGGGATCTCCAGTTTGTCACCTCAGAGGTCTTTCTCGGGATACGAACCCAGTTGCTTGCGTCCTACCCTCTGCGCCTATGTTATACTTTGCCAAGTGTGACCTTTCTCCCAGTCGACCCTATCGCGGTACTTGTACGAACAGGTTACGTTGGCCTCGACTGTATATAGGGTCGACGGTCTCATGCCCACATACACACTTGGCTCTTATACCATATGTGGGTGGGGTGGGGGGTGGTGGGGAATGAATTTCTGGCGTTGACGGCTACGTGACGTAGCAAGCATGAGGCCACGTGGGGCATAGCCGCTGTCTGACGTATCAGTGTATATTTTCCCACACAATAGCTGCCCCCCAGGTCGAGGTTTTTCTTCGGACTGCCTCGAGCTAGGTCTGGGATTCGCTCTGGCATTTCTTTTGTCTGATTCGGGTGTGGGAGCCTAACTCTGAGGCTCCCTCACAATGATGGCTCTGGTGCTTTGAAATCCCTCGAGAAGTGCAAATGTCACGTCGGTTCAATCGCCATGCTGATGTGAGCCTCCATTTAAATGGATGAATATGAGCCATTAGATCGTGTCTTCTTAGCTTCCCATCTTTCTCACTACCGTTCGATCTTGACCGGTTGCCCTCGCCATTGGATTCACTGGGAGTCTATCCAATGGCCAGGGGTCGAGGGTTTGATTTCCTTTAAAAGTCTGCTTCAAACCGAGACCATTTCTATCCAAACCTCTGAGAACTATCGTTATTTTGTCCAAATTTTCCCAGAATCCTCCATATCCTACCTCTCTCGTTCCCTTCGGTGTTTTATGAAGTTCCCTCGAGACAAGCTCTAGATTTTGCCATTTCTCAAGTTCCTGGTAAGTCCCTCTATTCTTTGATTTTTATTGAAAGGTTTCTATCAGATCATTATATGCTTTAGGCTTGAAGTAAACATTTAGGAGTTTAAAAAGACTTACTTTGCATACCTCTGAACCCTTATAGGCTAGCGTTTAGGTTTCTGGTCATTTGTAAAGAATTAAGGTTTTGGATTTGGGGTGGTTTGGCTAGAAAACCTCGGTTTCCCATGAGCGTTCGTCGTTCTTTTCTTGTGAACGATATACGGCTTTTTGAGTCATCGGCGTTCTCATACCATTGGCAGTCATCGGTGGTTTTAAACAATCATCATTATCGTTGCTTATCCTCTCCCTCTCGACTTAGGCTTTTAACTTAGCTCCCCCATATCATCCCTTTTTTTTTTTTTGGTTATATTAGAACAATGGCTCCTAAACCATCTAACCGTCGAGAGGACCCCTCTTCATCTATCGTAAGGTCAGACTCTCCTTCTACCGCCGAAGCCTTGTGGACATCCTCTTCAACAGAAGATGACCCCATCCTTAGGGAAGTCGAGGACTACGCGGCAAAAGCGAGGGAAATTGACAGCGTTGACATTTTGGTCGAGGAAAATGACATCGGCAAAGGTTCCCTAGTAGGGGAGAAATGCATGGATTCCCCGCCTCCGTCGTGGGCACCCCATTGACCGGTATGAGTGGAGACCCCGACCGGCCTTTCTTTACTGCTGATGTGACAACACCAAAGACGCGGAACAGGGACATCGTTGGGGTGTTCAAAGACGGGCGCGTAGACGGGAGATGGTTTGACTACCTTCTCCTGGATATAAACTTTAGGTCCAGCCTTCCTCCTCCTCGGTATTTTCCAGCATATACCCGGGCCTTTACCGCAGGGATGACTCTGCCAGTTCATCCCTTCGTGAAAGATTTCTACCATCACCATGGCATCTCCCCTGCTCAATTGGCGCTGAACTTTTGGTATTGCTTCGCTGGTGCCTGGGTTTTGTGGAGTCAGCGGTTTGATGTAGATCTGCCGCTGGACGAATTTATGTATATATATCTAAGTTAAGCCACATCGTAAAGTGCGATGGGTGGTATTGATTGGTGCATGAAAATGCACCATAAATACTACTTTTGATTTATATAATATTAAATATTTAAGCTCTAATTAAGCAATTTCATTATTTTTATTCATAATATTTTAATTGGAATTTTTCTAGTTTTTGCTTAATTATTCACAGATGAAAGCAGTATAAAAAAACTACACAAGAATAAGCCATGAAGCCATGTTTTCAAACCACTCGGAGCCAAGCTCTCAGCCGAGCC